TTTGCACGTGAGCTGAGATCATAAGAAGACATCATTTGGTTTGTATTAGAATTGTTATTCTGATTATAATTATGATGTGGCTGCTGATGGATTTGATGCTGTAGAGGTTGATAATGTTGATACTGTTGATGATGTGTATGATTTATGTTACTGGCCATTGAGGTGGTGTTACTATAAATAGGCGACTCTGAACGATTGCCATGTGTGGACAAGGACATTTGTGATTCGGCCATAGTTAAGGAAGGCGGTAGGAGAGTATTTGACACACGAAATGGATTCTCATAAATGGGACACGATTCGGAGGAATAGGTTTGTGTTAAGGGAGGATGTTGATGATGTTGTTGTTGCTGCTGTTGCAATTGGTGATGTTGCTGCTGCTGTTGTTGTTGATAATGATGAGGTGGTGTTTGAGGTCTTGGTGTAGCTCCCCTAGGCAATTTCAACATATTCGACTGCATAGAATCCAAACGTTCTCTCATCATATTAGTATGACCATCAAAAGAATTGGCATGCTTTTGATTGGACGAATAGCTGCGTTGAAAGTAACTTGATTGTGAATGCTGCAGCGGAGACGATTGCTGGCGACGCATACGATCGATCTGCTCTATATTCACATAATTACTGCTACTGCTGCTCAAATTATTGTTGTTGTTGTGACTATGACCCGGTGACATTTCTAAATTGTTAGTCGAATAAAACGAATGTGAGGTTATGGGCGACGGATGATGCTGCTGTTGATACTGCGGCATACGCCTCGTTGGCTGTGTTGATTGTGGTGGTTGAGGCAAAGTTGAACGCATTGAGTTCGTGGAGGGTGGTAATTGAGATTTTGCTCTACGAGCATGATAATAGTCCGGCTGTGTATCGGTATAGGTATTACGACTAACACTACCCGAACGTCCCCTACCACCTACAGTACCAACACCACCAACGCCATCGCAACTGGGCGAGGCCGAAGCACATCTCTGTAAAGTCTTTGATTTCTGTTTTGTACGTTGATCATCGAAAGACCAAACATTTATGACGGGTATTTCGGGAGGAGTCTCCTTCTTGACATACTTCCCCACAACGCCCTCTTTGTGTGCTGTCTGTTTATCTTTGCTCCGGCGTGAGAGCATCGTTGGTGGTTTACGATTGCACAGCAAAATGGTTAAGTAGTTCATGCAACATCCAGTAAAGGAAGTCGCAGTTTAAAAATCTATATCCTCGCCTGGGATGGTTAATAAAATAAAATTGAAGATTTCTTTATTGTCGCAAAGTGCTTACTCATGGATGTTGCTTTGATTTGTTTCTTTTTATTATATTATAGAAATTTTTGTTTTTATAAAAAATATGTATTATTCGTATTCGCGTTGTTTTATTTCTATTATTTATAACAAATTTAAGTTAAAAGTATATTAAAATAAAATTAAAAAAATATATAAAAAGAACTTGGTAAAAAATACACAAATAAAAAAGGGCTTCCCTATGGGAATCAGCTGTTCAGTGATGCTAGTACAGCGTTTTTTCAAGATTAGAAAATTTTATAAATCTTAAGATTTGTAATATAAGGAATTGTAAAGTTATCATCAGAAATGACTTTAAATAGAAATAAATATGATTATTTTTCATGAAATGTTAAACAGTTGTTTTAAAATGCTTGCATATTTAGTTATATTTTACTATAATTGGCACTCATTTCGCGATTTTTGCTGAAAGTAGTTACCATCATTGCTTTTGACCGCTATGGTTGACTTATGACATATATAAATGCTGAATGCTCCATATTTATGCAGATATGGTATTGCAGTAAAATGAAAATATTCGGATAATACTGTTTCTACCATTAATTGATAATGATGTTCTTTTTCTAAATAAAATCTTATTTAACTGTTATAATTATAAATAAAAAAGAAACTTTAAAATTATTGATTGAACTACATTGTAAAGTATTAATATTTTTGCAGTGTAAAAATTATCAGTAGATATTGATTTTCCGGCTCATGAACATTAATAAGTGATTATCGGCCGATAATCAAGATATTATGAAAATATTAAGGTCTATGTAGATTATTTTCAAGTATTCAACTATAATTGTTCTCAGTAGGGAACTAAAGAAACAGCCTTCAAAGCTTCTAATCCTGTGAAATATCCTCCGAAACAATTAAAAAAAATACTTTAAATAGATTTTTGGAGAATGTTTTTTATTGATGTTAAATTATCGTTTCACATACTGTGTAATTTTTCTTTTAATTAATTCGCATTGTAATTAACGAATTTGTTTTGAACCCTCGATTTTTTTAAACTCAAGAGTTACAAAACTACTTTTTTTTATTTTGAAAACAAAACTTCACAACTTAAAATAAATCTACACCCAAATATCCACCGGCTCTCTAGTGTTCATGAGCAGCACGAGCGGCTTCCATTTCCTTGGATACATAACCGACTTGCTCTTCAGGGGTGTGAGGCCAGAAAGTGGGACGGTTGACGGGATCCAAAGCCAAATCGGGGAATGAATCGCGGTAATCTTCCATGGTCATTTGCTCGAATGGCAACAACGATTTCAAATGATCGATTTCCTTTTGCAATTGAGCAATGCGGGCTTCAGAGCTCTTCTTGAAGTTATCGATTTCAGCCTTGGTTTCCTTAGCTTGAGCCTCAACCTGAGAGGTGACATTGTCAGCTGGGTAGGGTACCTTAACGGCTTCGTATTGCTTTTGGAAACTGTCAACCAATCCGGGAATGGGGACCAATTTCTTGTAGTGAGCCCAATCGATTTTTGGTGGGTTCTCGGGATTGGCCAAGACAGCGCGCATGTAAACATCCGACTTGGATTTGAAGGCGGCAAAGTTGGCCTTTTGGTTGGCGGGGACACGCTCGGCCAAAGCAGACCAGTTAATGGAGGATTGTGCAACGCGACGTGCTGCCATTTTTATATGTTTTCAAGAGCTAAGGAAAAAATAAAATAATTAATAAATAATTTTGAGGTTATGTAATAATTTAAGGAAAATCAATTTTCTAATTTCTGGTGCAGCAAAATTACTAGTTTAAGCTGAATATTATTAGTCTTAAAGCTGTTAAGCTTCTTTTAAATCATATTTGTTAACGTAATATTAAGTCTTTTTGCATTAAATTTCTTTAGTAAAAGGAATTATGTAATTTGGCACAAGGCTTTGCAAAACATGAACGATTTTTTGCCGCTGTTAAATTTTGCATTATACAATAATTATAATACTTTTCTTTAGTTAAATTTATTTATTACTATCTTTTGCACAGGAATTCCTAAGAACTTTGCTAGTTTTTTAATAATAATATAAAATATTTTGTAAAAAACACTAAAATTATATTACCAAAGAAGAAAATTGCACTCACAACTTGTCAGAGACCTACAAATGACAATTTATTTACTGTCAAATAACAACGAGTAGAAAAAGAATAAAAAACAAAAATAACGAGTTGAGCTAAAAAGCAGGGTTGTATTTTGTTTATGTATTTAAAAAGTAAACCTACTTAAAAACAAAAAATAACTTGTGAAAATAATTTAAATAATAAAAATGTCAATTATATTGGTTGATTAATTAATCTTATAAAATTTGTATTGGATCTTTTTTAATTTGTTGTAATTATGTTTACTTTTTGGAAAAACTTGGCACCACTTGCGAATATTTTTATTCGTTATTGTTAAACAGCTGTTGATACTGACAATTTTTGACATTTCTTTTTCAACTTTCCTTTTATATTGTGTAGTTTATTTCATAAGCATTGTGATTTGTTCACAGAATTTTATTTTTAATAAATCTGTTTTAATTTATATTTTGTGAATTAAAAATGTTACTGAAGTACATTTCCCCAGTTGTCCAACAACAATTACGACAAATTTCTTCAGCATCGGCCGCAGTAACAAGATTACATCGCTCCATTTATGCACGTCAATATCCCACGGTGGTGGTTCTACCCGATGGCTCTACTATTAATATACGTTATAGTGAACCAAGAAAAATTGTCAAGGTAAATCACAAAAAAACGGGAAAAAATTTAGTTTCCTTATGGTAGCTGTTCCGAATAATAGCTTAAAATATGACAAATTTGTTTTGGAAAATGCCGGGAACTGGAAGCCAATATATTCATGTGAACTTTTTTAAACTATTAAAACTATGCTAAACCGTTAGAGAATGCAATTAGCACAAGGTGGAAGATTTGTTTTCTCATCATCCTTATTTTGAAAAATCTATTAAAATCTTTAGAAGTACTTTTTAATAAACATACATCAGCTTTCTCTTAAGTATATAACAACTGAATACGTCAAGTTTCACGGATGATAATTATTTTGCAAACTTCCCTAAACAGGGAGGACGGTTTAGTGTTTTCTGTACGTAAAATGTGGAAGCTAAATATATGTATGTATGTGTTACTTTTAAAATATAGGCTTATTGATAGCAAGGTGCATCAAAGTGCATCTTGCTTTATAAATTATGAATTTTTAATTATTGTTTTATTACAGTATATTATATATACATCATACCAAATATTTATTTCTTATTGAATTTTTTTCTTACATTGCAGTTACCTCTAGACTTGAGTACTTTAACTGAAGCTGAACGTAAAGCCCGTCTCGAAGCACGTAAACCACGCAAGAAGGTTAAGATTGTTGAAGAAGTGGAGGATAATTTCAATGCTAAGAAATATATGAAATATATTAAAAAGAAATAGGTTTAATTTAGAAAAATAAATAAAAGTTGTTTAAATAAATTACGAAAACTTGTTAAAACCAAACGGATTTTATTGTAGTTTGGAATGAATGAAACATTTAAAAATTTCTTCATTGAAAATTTTAAGAAAAAGTTAGATAATATATTTTTGTAGAAAATTTTTGATAAAATACAAAAACATAAATATTTTAGAAAATTTTCTAAAATATATTTTTTTAAAAAAATTGCAATTAATTTTCCTTTATTTTTCAAATAGAGTTAGTTTATGTAAGTTTTCAAAAAATAAAAATATTTAATAATTTTTAGAAATTATTTTTTGTTTAGAAAACGTTTGTAAAATTTTCTAGTTTTTTGAATTTTTTTTTTTAAATTTATTTTAAATTTAGTAAATGTAAAATTTTTTACAATTTTCAATTTTGATAAAAATTTTAATTTTGTTTTTCAAAGAAAACTTTAGTTACATTTTCTAAATTTAGAAAATGTTTTTGACATTTCGAAATTTTTTGTTAAACTAATTCTAGAACATTTTTATTTTCTTAGAAAATTATTGTCAAATATTGAAATTTTCGATAAATATTCTAGTTTTAGAAAATCTTCTTTGAATTTTTAGATATTAGATTTATATTAAAATTTTCGTTACATATTCAAATTTTAGAAATTTTTTAATATTGGAAAAGATTTCTTTAATTTTCCAATATTCATTTTGGAAATAATTTGAAAATGTTTCGTTAAATATTTTTATTTATATTTTTAGAAAATTCCGTCTACTATTGGAAATATTGTAAATTTTATAATTTTCAAAAGTTTTCGTTAAATATTAAAATTTTAGAAAATTTTCGTATTCTAAATTAAGAAAATTTTCGAAAAATATTTTAGATATTGCAAACATTTACATACATTTTCTAATTTTAGAGAACTTTAGTTAAATATGTATGACAGTTACTAAATATGTATGACAGTTTCGTTAAATTTGCTACAATTGAAAAAGTCATTCTAAATTTTTTGTAAAATATTGAAATTTATAAAGAAAAGCTTTTATTAAATATTGTAATTCTAGAAAAGCACTATAAAGTTTCGTAATTTTAGAAAATATGATATTTTCAGAAAATTTTATTTATATTATCTACTCTATGAAAAATTATTCTAACAATTTTTTTAATTTTAGAAAATTTTTTAATTTAAAAAAACTTCTTTATAATTTCTAGATAAAAAAATTTCGTAAACTTTTTTAGTTTTAAAAAATTTTAATTTGTTTTAGAAGAAATTTAATAAGTTTTTAGAAAATTTTCAATAATTTTTTAATATTTTATTTTGTTTTTCTTTAAAAAAATTAATTTCTAGAAAATTTTCAATTTAACAGATTTTCAATAACTTTTTTTTATTCGAAATTTTTAATAAAAAAAGTATGTATATGTATATATATTAAATTGTCCGCTTTTTAAACTATTTGCAATTTGTAGGAAATTTTTTATAAATTTTTCGCTCTTTAGAAGTTTCGAAATTTGTCTTTTCTTTAGAAAGTATTAGATATTTTCTATTTTTAAATAATTTTTTGCAAATTTTTCATAGAAAATTTCAATTTTTTTTTTGCAATTTTTATATTTTAAAAAAATTTTAAAAATTTTCACTTTAAAATTTTATAAATTTTTATTTTATTTCTTTTTCAATAATTTTTTCGTTAAATTTCTTTTTTCGAAAGTTTACAGTAAATTTTCTATTTGTTCGTCATCAAAATTTTAAAATAAATACTCTATTTTGATAAAACTTTTAATGTCAAAAAACTTTCGAAATATCTTTACATATGGCAACAC